CTATAAGAAATGGTAAACAGGCAGACTTCAGAAAAACCTGGAAAGACTTTCATGGACTGATGCTGAGTGAAGTGAGCAGAACCAGGAGAACATTGTACACAGTAACAGCCACATTGTGTGATGACTAACTCTGATAGATTTAGCCCTTCTCAGCAATGCAAGGATCTAAGACATCTCTAAAAGTCTCATGATGGAAAATGCTATCCACATCCAGAGAAAGAACTGTGGAGTTTAAATGCAGATCAAAGCATACTATTTGCTCTTTTTCTCTCTTCTGTTTTGTTTTGTTTCCTCTTTCTGGTGGTTCCTCCTATTGGTTCTAATTCTTCCTTACAACATGACTAATGGGAAAATATGTTTAATAGGAATGTATACATATAGCCTAAATCAGATTGCATACCATCTTGGGGAGGAAGGGGGAAGAGAGGGAAGAAAAATTTAAAACTCAAAATCTTATGGAAGTGATTGTTGAAAACTAAAAATAAATTTTAAAAAAATGAAAAAGAAATCATCCAAGTGACAGACTGAAATGAAATGAAATGAAAACAAATGATACTGAATTAGAAATCCCTCTAACACACGATAAAGTGGTTTAAAAACATCTGACTCTACCTAACACCTTCCCTCACCTCTGTCAATTAGGAAGGAACTGCTCTTCATCTGATCTCAATGAACTTTATGCTCCTCTTATGCACTCATTATATTTTAATTTACATTAAATTTATGTGTATCTATGGCTTATGCCCTCATCTAAATTGTAAACTCCACGAAGATACATACTGTTTCCCATTTCATCTTCTATCCCCTAAAATGGATTCTGCACATAGTGGGAAACTAATAAATGCTGAATGAATGAATAAATGTTGTTTGTTGAATGAACATACAACTAAAGTAAAAAACATTTTAAAAATTGATTGTAAGGTTGACAAGGAAATTAATCTACATTCACCTAAGATAGGACTAGTTGCTAATCAAAGGAGAATAGAAGGTTTCCTTGGCTGAGGAAAAATGCATAATCAGAGATACAGGGTAGAAAAAGAGATCTTGATTATATAAAATTTAAAAGTTTTTGCATAAATAAAATCAATAGAGTGAGATTGGGAGAAAGTATTTGCATTAAATACTTTCAGAATCTGTAATTTCATCAGTGTGGGTATTCTCTCCACAAAGATTACAATTGGGGGGGGGGCAGCTAGGTGGGGAACACTGGCCCTGGAATCAAGAGGACTTGAGTTCAAATTTGACCTCAGACATGTAACACTCACTAGCTGTGAGTCACTTAACCCCAATTGCCTCACCTCTCTCAAACTTGATTAGGGTGGTCCTTGAACCATGGACATATACAGTCAACTATCTGAAGTTTTTCTAGCTTGGTAGGATATGCCAGAGCTTAACCTCCAGGACAAAGCCTTTGAAAAACCAGGGTCACCAACATACCACAATGATGCATCAAAGGACAACTTTAATGAAGGGTGCATTAAATATCCGATAAAAGTTCTAACACTGAAAAATCTATAAGTGCTTTACACATCCATAAGACAATAAACCATTTCCTTTGCCCTCTTATCCTATCACCAGTCTTGTCTTACCAATCCTCAGCTTTAGGTTACTCAAACCATCTTCTGCCTTCATTCCTTACACCAGCTACTGAACATAAGAGAAAAATCACAAAATACCACTGACTGGACCCACTATAAATTTATGTTACATAATCTTAATTGAACCCTCACTGCAGCAATGCAATTCTTTTACATCTCCCCAATTCATGCACTATCCTACTTACCACAGCAACTCTTCCAAACCTTTTCACAGTTCCTCAAATCTCCCATAGTTCCTCATCCCCCCACCCTCTGAGCTAAGACCTTTGCCTCATTTGTCAATGAAAAATTAGAGGCCATTTGCAGAGAGCTAGAAAAGACCTAAGAGGTTATTGAGTCCAACCGCCTCCAACTAAGGTCCAAGGAATATAAAGATTCCACAAAAACAGATCCTATTTGTATGAAGTATTAAAGAGTGAAGAAATCAGGGTATACCCAAAGATAATACAAATCAAGTCAACACTGAGGGGTTAAAAAAAAAAATGGTAGTCAACTATGATAAGTCAGTGTCAGTACTATAATGCCAAAGGACACACCTCTCCTTTCTGGAAGGATCAATAAAACTAGCCTTGTCAAGCAGCTTGTTTGATGCAGAATTTGTTGGGAAATGGCTATTGCAGAAAAACAAATGATGGCAATTTTTTTTTTAAATCAAGTCACATACACAAAAGCAAACAAGACATTTGTTTTTCTATAGCTGACAGCTGATTTGAAAGGAGATACTCCCCCATTTGTGAAAATTACAGCAAAAATCCCTAAGAACTAGTAAGATGTCAACTTTTCCTTCTGAAAAGTTTAATAAGTTGGGGGGGGGGGGTTGTACCAGAGGGAGAACTGGGAAGGCAATCGGGGTTAAGTGACTTGCCTGGGGGTCACACAGCTAGTAAGTGGCTGAAGCTGGATTTGAACTGATTAAGAGGAGTCTTCCTGACTTCAGGCCTGGCACTCTGTCCCCTTCAGCACCTTGCTGCCCCAATATACCATTTTTGTGAAGTACAGAATTTCCCTCATTCATTAGCATAGACTATAGGGCACAGAAAATTTTAATAACTGCCAGCCCTTGATTGGTACAATTCTTAACTCCAGAATGGCAACTTATATATGCAACATTTATGACCATCTATTTCAACTGTCCATTATAAACTCCTTATGGATATTCAAAAAATGCAAAGCATCAATGCTTATACTAAAGTGGTCATACATTAAACCAAAAGAAGGGGCATGGGAGCCACCAAGGAGTCAGAAAAATTAAATAAGGCATAGCAGTTAAAAAGAACAATTTTACTGACTAAACACTAGCCACATAAATGCCTATAAAAACTTTACTCTGTGAAAAACTTGCCTAGTAAACAGTATTACCAGGGCCCTGAAGGCAAAAGCTTAAGAGAAATCTGAGAAGGTATTCACAGAAGCTCAGAATCACAGAAGATTGAAACTGGGAGGATACTATAATAATAATAATTTAATTCGACTTCCCTCCCCACTTTTCACTTAAGTAAATAAACTAAGATCTAAAAACATGAAATGAGTTGCCAAAAGATCTCTCAAGTGCCCAGAGAAATCTTTATTTAGATTAGAAGACAACCTTTGGCCTAGCTCCCCCCTCTTAAAGCACAGTTCTGAAAAAAATCGGCTAAAAAATTAACTTAAGGTTTTAAGAAAGCTAATTTTCAAACAGATACAAACTTAAAAAGAAATCTAGATAACACTTAAAGAGGTGCTAGACATTTGTCAGGAGTTGGTATATAAAGAGCATGTTTTTTTATCCTAGTCATACATCCTATCATCCATAAATGTGATGGGGAAATTATCTTTACCATCATTCTTATAATCACTCACATTTACTCACTCACATTTATAAAGTGTTTCAAAGTTAAAGTTACAAGACTGTTGTCAGGAATGTACTACAAGCAGTATTATTTTCATTTTAACAAGGTGAGAAAACTGAGATGTTAAGTAACTTTTCCACAGTCTTACAGTACATGGAAGAATTGAGACTTAATGACAGATTGTCAAGTTCCTTTACTTCTCTTTGTTCTAATATACTAAGAAACTGAAATGAATTATGATCCTAATAATGATGTAAACTCCCTAGGGCTACAACAATAAGGTTTATGTAAATAGGAAAGACTAAGGCACTCTTTTCTCCCACTCCTTCTGACATTGAAAATGTTCATCTTTTTTTTTCTAAAAGTGAAAGATCACACACAGTTCAAACCCCAAAACAATATAACCAAAGAACTGAAACAACAAATTAGCATAAATAAAGGAAAAATGTGAATCAAAACTAAAACCCAAGTTTCTTTCAGAAATGTTCTTAACCATTAAAAATTCATAAGAGTTATCTAGAATTCAACAAACATTCACATAGCTCAGCATTAGGAGAAAAACAAGAATAAATACGCCATGATTCTTATCCTTAATAGCAAAAATTAGCATAGATAATGCCTTAAAACCTAGACAGTACTATATATATATTATGTATATATACATATATATGTATGTATATAGCAATATATGTACTATATAACAGCAATATATGACCTTGCACAGCCCTCCCTCACTTAAATCCAAGTAACTTTCAAGTCCTGGCCTCACCTTTCTGATGTCATGGTCCTCTTCCAGAACGAAGGACCAACAACTGGCCAGTTCCAGTTGGTCTTCTTCTCCCTCTCTCCCTTCCCCTTCTTCCCTACCTTCCTTCTTTCTTTCCTCCCTTCTCTGCCCCCTTCACTTCCCTTCCTCTCCCTCTATCCACATAGGGTTTCATATCCTTACTTTCAGGTGCTCTGCCCAAAATAATGTAAATTTTAATGGCTGAAACCTAGCAAAATATCTCAGTGTTTACAGATATATTTCTTTCTTAAAGACCATGCCTTAAATGCAATTCACTCTGGCTCTCATTGATTAGCCAACATAGGTTCCAGACAGAGCCTCACTTAATGGTCATTGTTTGGGCCCCATAGTTCAGAGTGAATATAAATAGTAACTGTTTCTATTTTGGCCAGAAACCCAGAGGGTCTTACCCTCCCAGACTGATTATTATTTTGGGGGGGGGGGGATTAGGTAAAAAAGGTCATTTCTTACCTAGCCTTAACCATTGAATGGGCATTGCCTCAGACAAACTGAGACCTGGGAAAGACCTTCCCTTGAAAAGGCCATGGTCTCTCACTGCATCCACAACCATCTCCAGTTACCCTGATCTGTATCTTGCCACTAGACCCAGATGGCTCTGGAGGAGAAAGTTAGACTTTGCACAGTGCTCCCTCACTTAAATCCAATTCACTTGCAAGCAGGGCATCACCTTCCTGATGTTATGGTCTTCTTCAAGAAGAAAGGTCAAACAACAACAGCAACAAACTAAAGACTTAAAGTTTAATAGGACAAATGATAGCAGGTTACCTTTTACATGCAGATTTTTCTGTAAGCAGCTCTGGAGAAACATATTGTGCTGTTCCTACAAATGAGTTAGCCCTGGCTGATAAAGAGGAAAACAAAGAGAGAAAGAAAAAAAGTTAACTCTTAGAGACATCAAAACATAATCTATTCAAAAGTATTTCATATTTCAGATGGTATAGATAACACCCTTGATCTTACCATCAATCCAAAAGTATTCCATGATCAACATTTTTGAAATTTATTTATCCAACCGTTAAATATATCATTACATCACTCCTCATGCCTCACTCTTCAATCTATTCTCCATCCTCAATATGACCTCAGTTCCTGCACTCCTCAGGACTTTCCCAGGTCATCATTCCTTTTCTGGCTTCACTTTCCTCTCTTGTCAATCTTTTCCCTAGTTAATCAGTTTAACCTGACATGGTCCTCTACTCTCAAATCCTTTGTCCTTGTGTATCATTGCTGCTCACAATTTACCAAACCACAATTCCAAATTATTCTCATTATTTGCATCCTCTACTCCTAGAGTGTTAAACTTTGCTGATTCACTGAATGACAACCAAACTGAATGGGTCCACTACAAATTTGTATTACCTCATCTCAAAAAGAGCATCACTATCGAAAGACAAGCCTATTACTCCTCCCTAATTCATTCTCTATCCCACTCCCACAGCGACTGTTTCAAAATTTCTCTCCTGAAATCTCAGTCACTGGGGCTTCCTATTGTCCTCTCAGAAGAAGACCCTGCCCTATACTTTACTTGGGGGGGGGGGTGATGACAAAAACCCAAAAGTCATTGTCCATGGATTACTTTCCATTTCTAAACCTCTTAACATCATACCCCATTCTCTCCTTTACTCTAGTCACTGAAAAGGTAGCTCTTCTTGCCAATGCCAATCCCTCTGATTTGACTTTTGATCCCCATTCCCCCTCATCTCCTTCAGCAGACTGCCACCACAATCATTCTTTCTCTTTTTTTAATCTTCAGTCTCTCCCTATCTACTGGCTCATTCCCAGTCACCTACAAACATGTCGAGGTCTCCTTCATCCTTATAAAACATTCAATTGGCACTACTAACCCTACAAGCTATCATCCTCTATCTCCTCTCCTATTAACACCCAAGCCCCCAGCAAAAGTTGAATATACTCTTCCTCGCATCTCACTCCCTTCTCAAACCTTTAAATCTGACTTCCTGCCAACCTCATTACTGAACTGAATTTAACCTTTCTCCAAAGTTACCAATGATCTTTTAATTGCAAGATACAACAAGCTTTTCTGGATCCTCATCCTTCTCAACTTCTCTTCAGTATTTGACATTACTATACTCTTACCCTGGATACTCTTTCCTCTCTGAGTTTTTGTAATAATACTCTCTGATTTCTCATTCTAACTACTCATCTGACTACTTCACGTGCTGCAATACCATCCAAACTGGGATCCCTAATCATGTGTTTACCCAAAAGCTCTCATCTGAACCCTCTTCTTTTTCCTCTCCACATTCTTTTTTTTTTCCCTCTCCACATTCTCTCAATGAATTCACCAACTCCCTTCAGTTCAATTTTCATCTCTACACAAATGACTCCCAGATTTGGCTCCAGTCCTGCATCACCAAATATTTACTGGACATTTCCATATGGATTGTTTTATAGACATCTCAAAATTCAGTATGTCAAAAACAGAACTTCTTTTCTCCCTAAACCTACCCCTTGTCCTAAATTTCCTATGTCTATAAGAACACAGTGTCCTTACTGTCACATAAGTTTGCAACCTCAAAATCACCATTGAATCCTCACTCTCCCTTACCCCACATATCCAATCAGCTGCCATGCCTTAACTGATTCTACCTCTCTTATCCATCCCCTTCACTCTCTAGGGCACTTCCCATCTCTCTCCTGTACTATGTCCTTAGCTTCCTAATTAGTCCCCCCCTTGCCTTAAGTCTCCTCCCTCTCCAATCCATCCTCCACAGAGCTGCCAAAGTGATGTTCCTAAAGCACAGGTCTGCCTATATGTTTCCCAGTTCAATAAACTCTAGTGACTTCCTATTGCTTCTAGAAACAATTGCAACTCTTCAATTTAGCCTTTAAAGCCTCTCGTAACCTGGTTCCAATCTACCTTTACAGCTTCATACTTTTCTCCCTCTATTTCCCCCCTTCCCACAAAATCTTCAGTCCAGTCAACCTAGATTTTTTGCTATTCTTTACAAATGATATTTTATCTCCTTTTTGCAGGATGCCTACCATATCTGCAGTAGTACCCTCCTTCGCTTCCTCCTCTAGTTTCCTTCAAAACTCATCTCAAATATCTCCTACATGAAGTCTTTCTGGAATTCCTCAGATGTTTCTGCTCCCTCTAAAAAAGTTACCTTGCATTTATTTTGTACATATGTTGTATATGCTTGATGGGGACATAAAATAGGATCGTAGATTTAGAGTTAGAAGCAGCACTCGAGGTCATTGAGTCTTACAAATAAAGAAGCCAAGACACAGCAAGTTAAATGACTTGCCCACGGTAATAAAGCTAACAAGTAACTGAGGTAGAACTTGAACCTAGGGTCTTCCTGACTCCAAGTTCACTGATTTATCCCCTAAGCCATCCTGCCTCTCCAAGGTAAACATAAAGAACAGGACACATTGTCTCCTTGTAGAAAAAGTGAGCTCCTTCAGGACAGAGACTTTTTCATTTGTGTCTTTATAACACCAGCTCTAACAAAGTGCCTGGCACACAATAGGTGGATTCATTGATTGACCCAAAAAACACATTTTTCTATTACAAGGGAAATACTGTTTATTTTTATAAGAAACTGACAGACTTTTTATCTATTGTCCTTCACTATGCATCCTTATAATATGAATACTGGATACTTCTTACACTGATGTGGGATAAGAAAGTTAGGTTCTGAAGTTTAATAGTATATGTCTTATAGAAGAATTCCCAAAGAAACAGTTCAAATGACCAATAATCTGACTCAATTCTCAGAAACTAATTAACATAAAATGGTTTAAAGTCCATAGAAGTCTGCCACATCAAGGCAGTCAATCTCACTGGCTATCGTAGTAATATTCATTCTAAACTGACTTCTATTCTTTCAATTCAATTAAAAAACATATAATAAACACCTATTTTGTACATGGCAATGAACTGGTTTCTGAGGATACAAAAAGAAAATAATCCAAATGCCAACTATGTTGCAAAGCTGCGCCAGGCATTTGTGGAGGCAAAAGATGAAACAAAATATAGTCCTTGACCTCAAGAACCACTGTATCCTTACAATATGTCTCACACCCAAAAACTTCCTGGATTTCTCTCAATATACTTATTTGGCACTCATTCTCCCAAAGTGTCATATTTCAAATTAAATAAACATAGATTGTACATATCATAAAACATAATTGTAACTTTATATCCCCAATATTCTGTGGCCCCTTCTCTGATAGAGCTCAGGATTCAGAATCAGGAAGACCTGAGTTCAAATTCTGCTTAGACACCTACTAGTTCTATAATTCTAGGCAAGTTACCTAAATCTCTGCCTCAGTTTCTTCATCTGTAAAATGAAGACATTAATAGCACCTATCTCCCAGGGTTATTATGAGGTCCAAACAAGTTAATATTTGTAAAGCACTTTGCAAACCTAAAATACTACAAAAATGCTAATTTATATTATTATTGATAGGGATACACTAAGTACAGTAGAAAGATCACTGGACTAGGTGTCTGCTGAGTTCTTAAAGTGATGAACTGTATAAGCAAGTTATTTCCTTCAATTTTTCTATGTGTTTAAAAAAAAAATAGATTGGACTAACATATCCTTATCCTTCTAGCTCTAGTAATCTATTTGCAACAAACAAAATGGCTGCCTGGTTCCTCTTGTCCACTTCCTGAAAGGGCACAAGTGGCTTGGATAATACCTCACTGTTGAAGTCCAATACATCTTTTCTACATATTTATATCCTTGATACTTTTAAATTACAAGCTCTACTATTAGTTTTGGAATTACATAGTTCCACAACATTTTTATTCATTTTTACCAAGGATTTACTGCACAAACTATACAAAGAAGTAATTCAAATACAAAATAATTCAATACAAAACAAATAGATAATTCTGATTTATAACATTCAACAACCTTCAAATATAGTTTCTACTCCATAAAACTAAATTCAGTCATAATAGCGTCAGAAAAGAACACTTGCATACCTTGTTTACTATCTGGAGATAATACTTTTGCTGTTCCAAAATCTGTAATCTGAATGTGCATATCTTCATTTAATAAAATGTTCTCTGGTTTAAGGTCCCTGAAAAAGCAGATTTTCATATTTCAGCTGAAATCTTTAAAGGAATTACATTTTAACATGCACTAAATGTGAGTGAAGAAAAAAGTAAAAGAAAATATAATCACCCTTAATGAAACCTTATAGGCAAACAGATCTATTCCACCTAGAAAATTACATTGTTACAAAGTGATTGTCACAATGGCATAGAAATCTGGAAAATGTAATTCACAAGTCAGAACCATTTTATTCTCATAAGAGACATCAATTTTGGCTTCCATGATTTTTGAACTGAGAAGTCTTCCTGGCTCTGAAATCAGCATTTGGACACATTTCTAAGATGAAATTCTCATAAAACATATAAAGTAAAATCAGAAGCTCATTCCACCACACAGGAAAAATAGGCATAAACAAATCATGCTCAAAACAATCAGTCATAAAACAGAGGCTGCAAAATCATCAGGATGCCCAGGATAAACTTAATACTCTTCATATTTGTATCCTGCTATGACTGCAAAGGACTGTATTTTGTTTCATCTTTTGCCTCCACAAATGCCTGGCACAGCTTTGCAACATAGTTGGCATTTGGATTATTTTCTTTTTGTATCCTCAGAAACCAGTTCATTGCCATGTACAAAATAAGTGTTTATTATATGTTTTTTAATTGAATTGAAAGAATAGAAGTCAGTTTAGAATGAATATTACTACGATAGCCAGTGAGATTGACTGCCTTGATGTGGCAGACTTCTATGGACTTTAAACCATTTTATGTTAATTAGTTTCTGGGAATTGAGTCAGATTATTGGTCATTTGAACTGTTTCTTTGGGAATTCTTCTATAAGACATATACTATTAAACTTCAGAACCTAACTTTCTTATCCCACATCAGTGTAAGAAGTATCCAGTATTCATATTATAAGGATGCATAGTGAAGGACAATAGATAAAAAGTCTGTCAGTTTCTTATAAAAATAAACAGTATTTCCCTTGTAATAGAAAAATGTGTTTTTTGGGTCAATCAATGAATCCACCTATTGTGTGCCAGGCACTTTGTTAGAGCTGGTGTTATAAAGACACAAATGAAAAAGTCTCTGTCCTGAAGGAGCTCACTTTTTCTACAAGGAGACAATGTGTCCTGTTCTTTATGTTTACCTTGGAGAGGCAGGATGGCTTAGGGGATAAATCAGTGAACTTGGAGTCAGGAAGACCCTAGGTTCAAGTTCTACCTCAGTTACTTGTTAGCTTTATTACCGTGGGCAAGTCATTTAACTTGCTGTGTCTTGGCTTCTTTATTTGTAAGATGAGGGGGTTAGACTCAATGACTTCGAGTGCTGCTTCTAACTCTAAATCTTTTTAATATTTAATTATTATTAATAAATATTATTTATTTTTAGACATCTAAATAATATCATTTAGATAATGATGTTATATCATCTAAATGATATTATTACAAAATTATTATTGTCTAAATCAAGTTTTATGAAGGCCAAAGAGACTTTCATAATATTTTTACAAACCAAACTTTTGAAATGTACCTTTGAATTTTGTAAAAATAACTATACTTTACCAATAAATAGATCTACAAATATTGAAAGATAAATCTACATTAGTAAATTACCTGTGAATAATTCCCTTTCCATGCAAGTATTCTAAAGCAGATACAATTTCAGCAGTGTAAAATCTGGTGCAGGTCTCATCAAAAGAACCAATCTTTCGAATATATTTAAGTAGCTCTCCATTTTTGGCATAACTAAGGCCAAAATCTGAAGATACAGTTAAGGATCAACATTTAAAAGCTTAAAAAAAAATTAAAAATCTTAATAGGCATGCAAGAAACACCATAACTAAGTGAAAACTGAAGATAACAATGGTCAAGAATAACAGGATACAAAATTTTATAATGTAACATCAAAATTTAGAGAAGAAAAGAATGTGAGACCTGAATCTCTTTCAGACTAATGGTGACCAAATGATTAAAAAATATTAAAGAATCTTCAGGCTGGAATCAAACCCAAAGGTCATTCATTCAGTCCAACCTTACTTGAGCAGGAATCCTACCCTACACTAACCCTGACAAGCCTCTCTTCTTAAGATCTAAGGTTACAAGGAATTCATTACCTACTGTAATGATTCTAAACCACTTCACACTCGCATCATGATTTCTAAGAAAGGAAATTGGACCCAGGTTCTCATGATACAAACACTGCCTCTTAAGTTTGGTAATAACCTGGGTACGGTGAGATGTGGTATAAATAGCAAGGTACTTTGAGATTCGAAGTCTAGTCCTTGTTCTACTACAAATACGATATGTGACTTCAAAGTTCCCATCACTGGACCTCAGTTCCTTCCTCTACCAAACAAGGAAACTGTTTTAGGTCATTTCTAAGGTTTTTTTTTCCAATTCTAACATTCTCTAGCCTTAGTAAATAAGATTCATTCGTCTTTGTAAGTCATTTTTCAGGCTGAATTCGCCAGAAAACAATTCATGATTTCTTATACAAAAAAAGTAATGAACAGGTCATTTAGCAAAAGTAGAACACCAAATACATAAGCCCAGTACTTCTAGCTCCAATTACAGTATATTTAACTTCCAAGAAGAAATGAAAACAATATTCTTTTCAGAAATATGTGCAGTATGTTTGTGTAGCACTGAAAGGGAGCTATTCAAAGTTATGCTTAGAGTTACTCAACTTATTAATACCCAAATGACTCAGCAATAAACTTTTAATTGTGTAGGAAAGGCAGCTTTTATAGGCTAATTTGTGTTTATTCTCCACAACAGCATAATTTCACACAATTATTTTATTCTCCATAACAAAAAAATCATTCCCATCCCTATATAATAGGCCCTTAACAGCTTGTGGATAAAAATTCGAACAATTCTCTCTCCATTTATAAACATACAAAATTTCCCTCCCTTATAAAGTACTTTGCAAAGGAGAAGCTGATTTATCACTTCCTGGTTCAATAAAACTTCACAAGTATGTAAGTATTCCCAATGAGCCCAGCATGATACTAAGTACTATAGGGGATCTAAGAGCAATAGAGGAGAGTAAGATGTCCCATACAATGGACATTCCAGATAACTAATACTTCATGCCACCAAGGACAAAAAACTTTGTAACCAATTCTGATGAAAGATTTTTTAAAAACAAATTATCATATACTAGGCTGTCTTCTATAACAAAAGTTGCAAATACCACATAAGTAAGGCCAAGTCTTAATGTATTAGACTTTTCAGCATAAATAAGTATTTCTGTACTTTAGAGGCTCTGAAGGTGTGTACAGAGCTTTTTGCCCCTAAGCTAAATTACCTTAGAAAGCTGAGGAGTCTTGTAGTTTGTTATTTTATAGTTTTTCTTTTCACTTTTCACTGATATAAGGGTCTTGCCTCTACTAGCTCTCTCCACCCCTCCCCATCCTTATTCACCAGTGAATTTGTTGGTCTCAATTGCCAGAAGTCTGATAATTAACGTGTTCACATGAATGAGACAGTCATCAAAGTTTTAGGATATGATTTAGGTACATGAAACAATTAGAAAATAATACAAGACAGAATGTAATCAAGTGACAAAACGTCAAACAATAATAAAAACTATAGGAGAGATTAAGAATGGAAGGCATTGGGGTATATACATAATATGTGGGGCAAAATGTGGACTGGATTCTGAAAAAAAAATATTGGGATCTGGAGAAGGAAAAAGCAGAAGGGAACACTATTTCAGATAGGAAGTACCATATAAAAAAAATCACATAAGTAGAAATGAGTATCTTCTGTCAATGAGAAAACTGTCAATAAGGAATCCGGGCCTGATCCAGTAGGCAACAGGTAAAGCAACGTGACAAAAATCAGCATTTTGAAAAGAATAATCTGATAGCAATGTTAAGGTTACAGAAAGGAGAGATACTAAGAGCAATGAGACTACAAAGAAATCAAGAAAGAGAGAAGGGCCTAGCAGTGGTAGTGAAAATGGAAAAAAGGAGATATGGCTCAGAGATATTACAAAGGAAGGACAGAGCTTGCTGTCAAGCTGTATTTACTGAGTGAAGGTAAGAAAGGAGTAAAAGACATCTCTGAGGTTGGGTAACCTGCACAATGATGGTACCACTGACAGAAATGGAGAAATTGTAGGGAGATGAGAAGACTGGAGACCTGAAACATTCAATTCTGAATTAAGTTTGAGGTGAAAGGACATCCAAAGAACAGTATGAAAACAGATATAAAAGACCAGAGCTTAGTTAAAAAATACAAAAGACAGGGATATGGAAAACATCTGCATAGAGGTGAACAGTAAAGTTATAAGAGTAGACTTTCCAAGAGTAGATAAGCAACCTGAAGGAGGCTATGTAAAAAACTCTGGTGAACTGAGAACTAAAAACTGATGTGTAAAAAGGAGGAGGAGACACGTGTTAGCTGGGTCTGTGGTGTATGGAAATTATTTCCAAAGTTCCTGAAATTCTATTAAGAAATACAGTAACTTCAGGAAACCCGGTCACACCTAGAAAACATACTGGTATAAGGGGGAAAAATACTCCACCTGCTGGCTTAGTTACGCCAAGCACCATTTTAAATGGATTCATCAGGAGGGAAAATGAAAAACCAAACATGACACTACTCACACTTGCTACATTTTCTTCATCCCTTTCTGGGAGCGAGGATTGACTGTGTTAAAAATAAATCTTGTATACCATTTCTATTTCATTTCTTTTGACTCTTATCAACCTGGCTTACATGCATTCTTAGAAACTTTTTTTAATTAGACTTATGATCAGGGGCTCTGGGGGGGGTGGAGCCAAGATGGCGGAGGGAAAGCAGTGACTGTCTTGAGCTCTCTCCCAAAGCTCTCTAAATACCTATAAAAAATGGCTCTAAACAAATTCTAAAGCAGCAGAACCCACAAAAAGACAGAGTGAAACAAATTTCCAGCCAAAGACAGCCTGGATGGTTGATCAGAAAGGTACATCGCACTGGGCGGGGAGAGGAGTACAGTTTGGCACTGGAGCAGGCCTCAGAGGACTGAATCGCTGGCAGCTGTGGTGGTTTCCAGACTTCTCAACCCCTGAATGCCAAAGACAACTTATAAGGTCAGTGGGAAAAGTCTGTGACTGCGGTGAGAGAGGAGCTAGGTCTCAGCTGCAAGTCTCGAGGGCAGGCCGCAGCTTTTTCCTGAGCTTCTGGCCCACAGACTGAGGGGGAATCAAGTGGCTGATCAGAGGGGGATTGCAGGGATCTCTTTGCCAGTGCTGAGGCAGGGATCTCTTGCTTTACCAGTGCTTGGATCTGGGTCACAGTTCTGAGGGGCGGTCCTGGGGCTAGGAGGAACACTGGCATGGTGGAGCTTGTGGTGGTGGAGAGGAAACACCTCCCCCCTTATCATACCACCTTGGAAGAACTGAAAATTTACAGGTCCCTAGAAGTACCTCTGAAAACAGCTGTACAAACCCCCGAAGCTTGGGACAGCACACCCTTCACATTGGAAGCAGACTTCTACCTTAACAAAGAGTTTAAAACTCAAGTAATTGGCCGAGATCATGAGCAAGCAGCGCAAAAAGAGTCAGACTATATTATCTTACTTTGGTGACAAAGAAGATCAAAACATACAACCAGAAGAAGACAACAAAGCCAAAACTCCTACATCCAAAGCCTCCAAGAAAAATATGAATCAGTTCCAGGCCTTGAAAAAGCTCAAAAGGGATTTTGGGAAGCAAGTAAGAGAAGTAGAGGAAAAACTGAGAGTGATGCAAGAAAATCATGAAAAACAAGTCAACAGCTTGCTAAAGGAGACCCAAAAAAATACTGAAGAAAATAACACCTTAAAAAAATAGCCTAACTCAAATGGCAAAAGAAGTCCAAAAAGCCAATGAGAAGAATGCCCTAAAGAGCAAAACTGGCCAAATGGAAAAGGAAGTCCAAAAGATTACTGAAGAAAATACTTCCTTAAAAATTAGAATAGAGCAATTGGAAGCTAGTGACTTTATGAGAAATCAAGACACTGTGAAACAAATTCAAAAGAATGAAAAATTAGAAAACAATGTGAAATATCTCACTGGAAAAACAACTGACCCGGAAAATAGATCCAGGAGAGAGAATTTAAAAATTATTGGACTATCTGAAAGCCACGATCAAAAAAAGAGCCTACAAATGATCAAGGAAAACTGTCCTGATATTTTAGAACCAGAGGGCAAAATAGAAATTGAAAGAATCCACCGATCTCCTCCTGAAAGAGATCCCCAAAGGAAAACTCCTAGGAATATTGTAGCCAAATTCCAGAGTTACCAGGTCAAGGAGAAAATATTACAAGCAGCCAGAAAGAAACAATTCAAATATTGTGGAAACACAATCAGAATAACACAAGATTTAGCTGCTTCTACATTAAGGGACTGCAGGGCATGGAATATAATATTCTGAAGAGCAAAGGAGATAGGATTACAACCAAGAATCACCTACCCAGCAAAACTGAGTATAATCCTGCAGGGGAAAAATGGTCATTCAGTGAAATAGAGGACTTTCAAGCATTCTTGATGAAAAGACCAGAGCTGAATAGAAAATTTGATTTTCAAATTCAAGACTCAGGTGGAACATGAAGAGGTAAACAGGAAAGAGAAAAGCATAAGAGACTTATTAAGGTTGAACTGTTTACCTTCCTGCATGGAAAGGTGATATTTGTAACTCATGAGACCTTTGTCAGTATTAGGGTAGTTGGAGGGAAAAAAATTATATGTATGTATATATAGATATAGATAGATAGATAGAGGGCACAGGGTGAGTTGAAAATGAAGGGGTCATATCTGGAGAATAAAATTAAGGGGTGAGAGAGGAATATACTAGGAGAAGGAGAAAGGGAGAGGTAGAATGGTGTAAATTATCCCACAAAAAAAAAAAAAGAAAAAAAGAAAAGGCTCTTACAGTGGAGGGGAAACAGGGAAGGTGAGAGGGAATGACTGAATCTTATTCTTACAGGATTTGACTTAAGGAAGGAATAACATACACACTCAATTGGGTGTGGAAATCTGTCTTACCCTACAGGAAAATAGGAGGGGAAGGGGACAAGAGAGTAGGGGAATGATAGAGAGAAGGGCAGATTGGGAAAAGGAGTAATCAGAAGCAAATACTTCTGAGGAGGGTCAGGGTCAATGGGTGGGCGGGATAGGATTAAGGGAAATAGAGTTAGTTTTTCACAGCATGTCTACTATGGAAGTGTTTTGCATAACTGCCCATATATAACCTATATTGAGTTGCTTGTCTTATCAATGAGGGTGGGTGGGGAGGGAGGAAGGGAGAAAATTTGGAACCCAAAGTTTTAAAAACACATGTTTAAATAAAAAAATGTTTTCACATGCAACCGGGAAATAAGAAATACAGGAAATGGGGTACAGAAATCCATCCTCCCCTACAGGAAAATTGAAGGAGAAGGGGATAAGAGAAGAGGGGAGAGAGATAGAGGGGAAGGCAGACTAGGGGAAGGGGTATTTAGAATGCATGCCATTTTGGGGTGGGGGAGGGGTGAGATGGGGTGAAAATTTGGAACTCAAAATCTTGTGGAAGTAAATGTTGAAAACAAAAAAAAAAAATTACCATAAAAAATTTAAAAAATTCTCATTAAGAAGAGAAAAACAAAGAATAAAAAAAAGAAAAAGAAAAAAGAAAAAAAAAGAAAAGAAAAAAATAGACACGATCAGAAGACTAAACTTTGAAACTTGAGTCCTTCATTTGCCCTCTCTGAGCATATTTCCTCATCTGTAACATGGGATCAATGGAATACTACTTGCCTCACAGATCATGACAGTAAAATGAGAATGTATGCAAAATGCTTTCAGAATTGCAACTTGTCTTTATATAGCACAGTGCAGTCGTTACTATGTAGTAGTGTTAACAATAGTAGTAAAAGGCATGGGTCAATTAAGACAGTACAAAGAGTGAATGGAATGAGAGTGTGAATTAGGTGATGACAAGGCCAATAGGACAGACGACAACTTTAGAGTCATCTCTGACATTCCTATTTCCACTATTTCCTAAATCCAGTCCTGTCACCAAACACAATGCTGCTTCCTTTGTAATATCATAAGGCTTTAAGTTTTCTCCATTACCATTTTTCATCACCCTAGCACAGGTCCTTATCAATCCATATCTGATTTAGTCTTCTAACAAGACTTCCTGTATGACCTAAAAGGAGCTGAGATAAAATGAAATAATGCGTATAAAAAACCTTCTATCATTTTTTTATATTCACATATCTCCCTTTTGTGAGATATTAACAGAAAGGGAAAAAAATTAGACTTAGAAGCAGAAGACTTTGGTTTTTGTAGATAATTTTTGAGAGCAAAGGGGTCACCTCTTCTGGCTCAAAAATGGAAGAAAAGGAAAGAGGATTTAATAATGTGTTCAGAGACAAGTTAGCCCATTGAAAAAGTGAGATCTACAGAGGAAGGAGCCTTCCACATATAGAAAACAATAGCAGCTTACACTGATAAAACTCTTTAAAGACAAGAGAGTTATACACATACATCTAGTAAAGTACAGACAGGTATCAATGAAAGAGCTTAGGCAAATGACCTCCTTATGGAGGAACAGAGCACAGGAAATTGATTCAATGTGCTGAGAAGGTATCATTAACTCAAAGAAATATGAAGGCATCAGGAAAGAACAGAGGGCTTTAGAAAAAAGGAGAAAGGTTTAGAACAGACACAACTGGAACTGAAGAGGAACGTGATGTCAAAAAGAAATGAATGGTAGGACTGCAGAACAGTGGCTAAGAACAAACTAAAGTTGAATGACAAGACTCTGACCTTTGGGATCCTATGCTTTCTTCTAGCATCACCTTTTAGTCCAGGAATAACATCTTTATTATATTTATAATACCTGTATCCTTACACAGACTGAATGTGTGATCTAAGGTTGGGGACCAACACAGAAGAAACTAAGAACTTGAAGTAGTCTAAAATTGTTTTGTGGGTGGCTATGTCAACCAACCATGGAGCTTAAGCTGCAGAGGAAGTAGAGTGCATCTAAGGGGCTAAGAGGAAAGTGGGAGCCTAAAAATGCTGTCCAAGACAGAAACAGTTTAATGAGTGTATAAGAATAAAAGAGCTAATAAATAAGGAGTCTATGGTTGCAGAGGGGGAACATAAAATTTAAGATTTCAGACGGACCCTTTAAAGACAAAAGTCCAGCCCTAATGGCATATGACTGATGAGCACATAGAGATCAAAGGCATTTAGGAAGAATTTTTAAGCCACCAAAGTTGACATCTTGGGACATGGCAGAGAAAAAAAGTGGCTTCTGTATCAGCTTCACCAATGGTTATTATTTAGGTTCTTGGCTAAGTAGCACAGTAGGTAAAGCCTTGGTCTTAGACTCAGGAAAATCAAGGTTCAAATCCTGCCTCAGATACTTACTAGCTGTGGGATCCTGGGCAAGTTACTTGTCTCTGTGAGACTCAGTATTCTCATATGTAAAATAGGGATAATAGTAAAATTTACCTCACAGGGTTGTTGCAAGGACCAAATGAGTTAACATATATAAAATGATTTGCAAAGCTTAAAGGGCTTATATAACTACTAGCTATTATTATTAATACTGTTATTATCATGGAATTTAATGAGTATTTGGTATATAAATTGATTCATTTATTTATTCCCAAGCAACAAGATTAAATTAAAATAAGAAGCTTACAGGTAACAAAAAACTTTCCAATTGGTTGACTTTAAGGATTGCAGTTAAATCTCAAGATAGTTTTGTGTTGTTTTTTAAAAAACTATCCTCATTTAGAATTACATGTAGAACTGCCTGGAAAAAAGGGTAAGGAACCAGATATGTCTCTAGATACCTCTTATCCTTAAAAGGCTTCTTATTTGTAAAGCACTTAGCACAATGGCTGGTGCATAGTAGTCACTTAATAAATGCTTGTTCTCTTCCTTTTCTTTCCACATAAAAATGTCTTCTACATGCTGCCTTTGCTAAAAGACACGGAAGCAATGAAACACTAATTTAGCCAGCTTTAAATTATCTACACTAATAGTGGGAAACACAGGTATAGAGTAATTTTAAAATAGTAAAACATTCCAAAAGATATTTATATTTGACTTTGAAAAGCATCATATGCTGGCAAGATAGCAGATTTACCTTCTTAATTATGCTTCTCCTAAGCAGATAGTAAAAAGAATCTGTAGGTACACATCAGTGCAGTGGCTCAATGCAGAGAGCTAGAAAACCTGCATTCAAGTCCTGCCTCTGGCTGTGTGACCCAGGACAAGTTATTTGATTTCTCAGTGCCCAATGCAACTCTCTAAGGCAATAAATTGTAAAAATCATAAATTGCAATACCAATCTGCATTGGTAGAAGTAGTTTCCTCACCCAGGACCTCTCTATACCAATGAAACCACAAGACTAGTCCTTAATCTGTTCCCAATTATACAGTGGGGTTTCAAAGTAAAGGGACATCCACCAAGGATGAACAAATGAATCACTCAGCAAGCATTTATTAAGTGCCAGACACCGTGCTGGGTGCTGAAGATGTAAAGACAAAATGAAATGGGGCATGCACTGAAGGAGTTTACTTACATTCTATTAGTAAAAAAAAAAAAACTGCACAAACATATTCAAAATAAACATGCAAGGTGAGTTGTGGGGTGAGAGAAAAGCATTAGCAATCAGAAGGATCAGAAGAGATTTCCCATAGAAGGGGCACTTGAGCAAAATTTTGACAGAAACAAAGGATGACAAGAGGCAAAGATGAGTGGGATCAGCCACTGTAAAGTGCACAGACAGGAGATGGAGGAGCATATCACACGTGAGAAACCACAAGAAAGCCAGTCTGGGTTTCTGTATTCAATACCTCGTTGTATCCCAAACCTACCCTTCTGCATTTGACAGCTATTCTTACTTTCTCTTCTGTATTACCAGTTTTACATGAATTTGTTTTTTTTCTCACAAACTCAGGATTCTATGGAACACTAAATTTCTAAATTATTTTTCATTTCGATTATAGATTTCATTGAAATCTATAAATGAAATGTGTATTTTCAATATATTGAGAATAATCTACGTGAACTTAAGTGTTTTAATACAGAGGAATTGTTCTTTTTTATTTAAACAATGTGTGTGTGTGTGTGTGTGTGTGTGTAGATATTGCTTACACAAGGTTACAATTCTCCTGATGAAACTGAAATAAATTTGCTCATTTATAATTGCAACCAAAAAACATTCACCTATTCCTTTAACTATTTTCACACGGAATAATGTTCTCATTCACTGAGTCTTGGTCTTGGTTGTCCTCTTTGAGCATGTCTATTTCAAAATCTATCAAGAAGTCTCCAAATTAATTTATCTTAAATTATTTTCATGTTTTAAATGTATGTCATATTATAGGGGAGATGGGGAGAGAGGTTAAGACATCAAACAATGAGGTGTCAAAACTCCAAAAAAGATTAGGAATCAGTGCTTTGTTTTGATTAAATATTTTGTGGTCTACTTTGATCATATTGAATGGTATTTCAAAGGATACACAGCTTTTCATCGTCCTGAAATGTGAAGTAAAGTTTTACAAAGAAAGGGTGATCCAGGCGGGACATTACATCTCTTTCTCTGGTTACATATGGTACCTTGTTCTCTTTTATGATATGCCGTTTCTCTAGGATTTTAACTTAAACAAAAACCAAAAGAAATGAGTTACTAAGACTGGTAACATAAAGATTTAAATACCCAATTTATTAATGCATTCCATACATTAGTTATTAAAATTTACACATTTTTAATAGCCTATAAAAAACCAAGTATTTATAGGTGCTTTGCAATCAGTATAGAATAAAGTTGACTTTTTTAATGCAACCATGTTTTTCTATTTATAGATTGTATACTAAACTTGCATGCATTATTACTTACTAGCATATTCTCTTGAAGTTGCCAATTCTCGGGCCAAGACAACCTATTTTTGGAAAAGGGAAAAGGAAGGTGGGAAGGGAGGAGAAGACAAAGGACACAACAAAAGATAACCAGATTAGGTTCAACATAAAGCTTTAAATTGTTTCTGTCTACATAGGTACCATACAATGAGTTCAAAACTGGACAAGATAATGTGTTATAAATATGAATAAATATGTATATTCTTACAAATAAGGATCATAATCAATCTGCTATCAATAATATGGATGCAATTCATAACAGGTCAAATGAAGAAATACAGTAAAACTTGAATTCATCAGAATCCTCATTTAAACAAACCTTTTTGGCTCTATTATATTTTTAGAAGAAAAATGCAAATTATAACCAAACGAGTCAATATTAAAGACTCATTAAAAAACTAAGAGTATGCCTGTACTAATGTCAGTAAGAGTTGGCAAATCTCAATAAATTTTTAAGAGTTTTCCCATAAAGTAAATCGAACATATTCTAAAACATAGTCAAAATGTAAACTTGAAAGATTAGAGAGGACTAGGTTGAGTTTTTCTGTAATAAATTCTTGATTTCATCTTGTTCTGATGTGCTGGGTCTCTCATAAAAATACTGTAAAAATATGGCCCAGTCCCACAAGGCCCACACATACTGGGAAAAAAAAAATCAACTGACTGAGCTGTTATCGTATTTTCCATTTTATAATCTTAGTATGCTTGAGACAAAAAGGACCTTAGAAATTATTAATCCATTCTGTTCACTTTACAGATAAGCAAAATGAAGCCTGGAAAAGGGAGGTAACTTGCCCAAGGTTCCACAGAAAGTTAAACACAAGAGTGTGAACTAGAACTGAGCCACAGACCTAGACTCTTAACTACAGGACTAAACATAACATTGCTGTGACTCCCAGACCAGTGCTTTTTCTACTATGCCACACTCCCTAGAGACCCAGCAGGTAGGAGCCCAGAGCTTAAAGCTTTGTTTTGCCCATCACACCCCCTGGCTCTGCTACATAGCAATCAGCAGTGAAAGACAGTGTTCCGTCATTGGAAACACGTTGAATATGGCAGTAAGGACTAGATCAAAACTTCATGTCCCACACACAGCTGTGGGCCTTGGACAAGGTGCTTAACCTATCTAGGCCTCAATTTTTATACCAATTAAAAAAGAGAGCTGGACAAGATGATTTCTAAAGTGTCTCCACGCACTAACATCTACGAAATTACCAATTTACTAATAAAAGATGGCTTAATCATGGCACTACAAAATATGGTAGCAGCCCTTTTCTACCCAATGGCCATATTTTTGGCCACTAATTTCAGAAATCATCTATGAATACCAACGTTGAGGCCTGCCCAGAAACTGGAGATATGAGCATTTAAGGCAGCACTACCACTTCCATTTTCAGCGAAGTTAATCCATAATGTACACATATAATAACAACCTGAGAAGTCTAGAAATAGTGAAAGAAAAGAAATTCTGACCTAGGCATCCATGAGACTCTATTTTCTCATTTGAGAATTGTCAAGTGGACCAAAAAAGTAACCACTTCTTTGTGATTCTGCTAACAAAGGCTGAACTGAAGCACAGTATGGCGGAAGCACAATAGACAAGGAGCCTAAAGACCTGAGCTTGTGGCCCTGATCCCTAAATTTACCAACACTGTGAATTCAATGTTATTATAGAGAAATGTGAGAAAGCTCCATGCATTTCTCAAACAACTCCTGCTTTTCACTTCAAGTTAAACTGCTCTCAGAAGTAAAACTCTCTTTCACGTGACTGGACTACTCTACTTGTACTACAAACCCATTTTCTTTCATAAAACACAGCTTCTCCACAGAGACAAGCAAGGGAAGACTGTATTCAAGTACTAAAATCTAATAAGCAGAAACATCCAGGGAAATACCTCATTATCTATTTTACTGAAACAAGAGTACCCAAGGTCAAGAAATGTTACCAAATAACTGGCAGAGAGATTAAACTGACTCCAAGATTCAACTTAAGGATCAGAAGAACCTCCCTGAGTCACAGCTAACAAAACCAAGATGACATCATTTATTTGACAAAAGCTCATGAAACTAATTAACTACTTGGAGAAATTCAAGTCATGGTTCATTTGGTGAGTACTTTTATAAAATAAATTAAAAAATACAATTTTTATAATTTGAAAATGGAAAACAAGCAGTATAAACATTGAGAAGGGTTATCTCAGCCACCTTCATAACAAAGGAAATATATCTCATGGGATGGATATTTACCTAGAACAATTGCCTATTCTTCACTCTCATCATTATTAAATACAACATGAAACTAGTATCCTCATCTATAAAGTAAGTGGGTTATGGGAGATTATCTCAAAGAATCCTTCCAAACCTAACATTCTATGAATCCATCTATGAACCTATAAATTATCATTAAAGCAGAATCTTCTAACTCAAAGCTCCAAAGCATCACCCCACAAAAGAAAATATTAATTAAAATAATTACTATACATATACTTACTGTTGAGAAAGATCCTTCACCAAGGATTTTTCCAAACTTAAAGTCTTCTGGCCGTTTCTTTCGAGGCTGTGGTAGCTGCTGTCCTGAATGTTGTGGTAAGGAATTGGAATTAGACCTTGGCTCGGCTGCAGTGCCATCCATGGTAGACCCCTGTCTACTACTACAGGGAACGATGACAGGGGGAGTGCTGGAATCTGTATGGTTTCTCACCATTGATGGGGTTGGACAGGAACATAATACCACACTAGTTTGTATGGGAATAGCATCATACTAGAAGGAAAGAAGGATAAGGGCAATTAGTTTACACTTAGCCAATTTTATTACCTTTATTTTCTTATTTTATCCCCAGAAATAAAAATATCAAGGCAAACAATACCATTTTAAGTAAACAAAAGACTATGTGGTATGATGGATATTTACAGTCAGAGGACCTGGGTCAGATTCACAGCTATAGTTAATTTTTCTTCCTTCTGACTTCAAGTAACAAAAAGAGACTAAGCAGGGATGCAGGTTTGATTTCCGGAAGGAATGGCCAAGTTTGTACAAAGAACAACTGCTCCTTAGAAACTGATTTCCCTCTTAACCCAGGACAGTCATTTCACAAATTAGTACCATAAAACAAAACAGATGGTAGGCAGGCTAGGGGTTAATGCCACTGGAGCTTAAAAGCCAACTTGGACCTTTTCTAGTCATTAGATTTGCATCTCAGTGTATCAGTTGAACAACATGATAGTTGGCTTCCATGACTTGAATGAAGAATGACACTGGCCAAGGCAGTATTATGAAGGGTATATGCCCAAGCTCTTTACAACACAAAATAAAATTCAAAAATGTTTATGCAACAATGGGATCGAACTGTTCTTGATGCTCCTTACATCTGTGAAAATGGGACTGCACCTGTGCAAGCAGCTTTAGGTCACTTTGAGTTTTATAAGACAACAACCATAAAAGCATGTTCAAGTTAAAGGTGCTATATAAAAACATGGAATTATTCTAAGAGTAGTGGACTCAGAGTTAAGAGACCTAAATACTACTTTAAGCTCTACTATTAACTAGTATGTGAACAAGTCAGTTCATCTAGAGCCAAGAGCAGGGCAAGACAGGCTGCTACCTATACCACAACAAGCAGCACATAGGAGAAAGTGATGAAAGCAAAGGTGGGACACTATTTAATAATTTTTGTGAATATACTTATTATCAAAGCCAGGGAAATCTGCTTTTCGTTACATATACATATTTACTTTGTGCAGTTGCCTACGGTACGATACAGTATCTAATGGAAGTAAACACTGGGACACAGCTTTCAAATACTTTCCTGGGTCTGCTTACTCATCAGTAAGATTAAAATGTTATACAGTGCCTTAAGTTCACACAAAGCATTTTGTAAACACAAAAGACAATATAAATGTTATTCTTATTATCAGCAGTACATGGAAATGTTGACTGAACTGGGAAGCATATTTATGAAGCATCTTTTCTATATAAAAATATTTAAAGTAACTTGTAAAATTCTATGATTTTATAAGTCACAAGGAGGACTATGTCAAGAGTATATTTTGAATGCCTCAGCATAAAGCAAATCCCTACTATCAGAAAAAACAACTCCAAAATACAAATACACATCCTGATGATACCAGGACAGTAATGGCACATGAAGGATATTTTATTGTTATTAAATGAAAAATATAAGCTACTCAATCATCATTATTGTTACAGAAAAGTACAACAGGGAAGGAGGGATAAGGAGACCTGGGTTCAGTTCTGCCACTTAATAGTTATATGACCCTAGACAAGTCACTAATTTCTCTGATGTTCAGTTTCCTTTCCTGTAAAATAGAGATAATTCCTTCCTCCACCTACAATCCTAGTACCCAATGTAACTGTAACAAATAAAATTTTAGCCCCCTCACTAATATATGTGGAAGCATATTTTTTATAAAAAGCCATACAAATATAAAGCATTTACCTCAGTGCCATTCATAGGAGCTTAGTGTTAAACAGAGACAGATACATCTTTACCTCTGAATAAATACTATGTGCTACTAGCAACAGAGCTATGGAAAATGCACTACATTTTTAAAAAACAAAATCTAATCTGGCCCAAGAGAAAACTGTCATGCTATCTCATTTAATACTACCTAAGACAGATGTTGATGAGATAACAAGGAAATAAGATTGCTAATAAGCAGTACAAAAATTGATGAAGATGTCTAACCAGAAGCTAGGCTCTAAAACCTAACAAAACACAACTGCCTATGGAAATACAGGCACAGCTCAAAGAAATCAACGTGGCTTACTTAGATCACATAGCACTTTGTATTTATCTTTATATATTTACATTACATTTAATATTTTAATTACTTGTGTATATACCATAATCTTCCCAGCAGATAACCCATAAATTCTTTCAGGGCAAGTTGTCATACTTATTTTTATGTGTCCCAATAACTAACACAGGACCTTACACACATTAGTTGCATAACACATTAGAACTCAGAATTAGAAAAATTAAGGTAAATGACAGTCATGGGTCACTCTCGAAAACTGTTAACAATATTTTCGTCCAATTCTGCCACTTTTCATCTAAGTGTGCACACACAAAAACACACATGAACGCCACACAAAAATCATTTCTTAAAATTCATTTTACTTGGATTTTCTTGGTAGAGAGAAACACTATATAATTGTCATCTTGAGGACTGAACATGATGCTAATCTTAAAAATAATGCCATATAATGAAGTGCTGTACCCTTGCACACACTGGTGATATAAAAACACAGAATTTTAGTTATTATTTGGAGGAGGGAAGTACTATTTGTTATTCCACTGCTCTAGACAGTAGAGGGACAAAACCAAAGTTAAATATGGCATTAAATATGAAGAAATACCATATTTCATTAATCTCAAAATTCTTAAAAGAGTTTAGGAATCCTAGAAAAAGTTAAAATAATGTAATACTATCAACAGTAAACAGAAAAGGCAAAAATGTTCTAAGTCACTTGGGTCTTTCCTCTAATGAGTGGGTAGGGGAGAGGGAAAAAGAGAGGAGAAAAAGTTATCATCTACACTAACAAACAAGTAGAAAAAAATCTTTGCAGCACAATTCTCTGACAAAGGTCTCATTTTCAAGATATATTTTAAAACTGTTTCAGATTTAGAGTAATAATAGCCATTTCCCAACTGATAAATGGTCAAAATATTAGCAAACAATTTTCAAAAAAGGAAATCCAAACTATCCATAGCATTATGAAAAACTGCTCCAAATAACTAATAGAGAAATGAACATTAAAGCAACTCTGAAGTTCTATCTCATCAGATTGGCAAAGCTGACAAATAAGCAAAATGACAAATGCTAGAGAGACTGGGAAAAGAGACACAATGGTGCATTGCTGGTTGAGCGGTAAATTTGATACAATCACTCTGGAAAATAATTTGGAACTATGACAAAAAAGGGACTAAACTACATATAGACTGTAACCCATCAATAGCACTACTAGGTCTATACTTTAAATTGAGGAAAGAAAAAGGAAAAGGATTCACATGTACAAAAATATTTGTAATAGCTCTTTATGTGGTGGCAAAGAATGGGAAACAAAGGGGGTGCCCACCAATTAGGGAATAAACTTATGGTACATAAATGTAATAGAATACTATCATATCATAAGAATTGACTAAAAGGCCAGTTACAGAGAAAACAGGGATGACTTATGAACTGATGCAAAGTGATATAAGAAGAACAAGCAAAACAATTTATATAAAAGCAACATTGCAAAGACAGACAACTTTTATGTAAATCAATTTTTTTGGGGGGGGGTGAGGCAATTGGGGTTAAGTGACTTGCCCAGAGTCACATAGCTGGTGAGTGTTATGTGTCTAAGGCTGGATTTGAACTCAGGCCCTCCTGACTCCAGGGCTGGTACTCTATCCACTATGCCACCTAGCTGCCCCTCATAGACAACTTTTAAAGATTTATGAACTCTGATCAAAGTAATGACCAAACATGACGCCAAAGTACTGAAGGAAAAAAACGCTACCCACCTCCAGACAGAGAAGTGCTGGTCTCTATGCAGAATGAGATGTACATTTTGGACAAGAATAATATGGTAATTTGCTTTGGTACACTATGCATATGTGTAACCACACATGTGTATATTTTCTTCTTTCTCCAAGGAGAGGAGAAGAAGAAAAGTAGAAGGAAAAGAAAAATGCTTGTTAACTGAATTTTTAAAAGTAACGAAGGGGAAAAAAGTACTACCAGTCAAATCTCTATTGTTCATATGAACGAATTTCACTGAAGACTAGGAAAAAATACAAATTAGCTTCAGAGGGAAGTAGCAGGGCCTTTAAACATCCAACTTAAAAATATATGGCCAACCAAAAGACTATAAAACTGTGCATACTCTTTGATCTAGCAATACCATTACTAGATCTGTAGCTCAAAGAGATCAAAGAAATAAGAAAAAGATCTATTTGTACAAAAATATTTATAGCAGCTCTTTTTGTGGTGGCAACAAACTGGAAACTGAAGGGATGGCCATCAACTGGGGAATGGCTAAACAAGTTGTAGCACAGGATTGTGATGGAATACTACTGTGCCAAAAGAAATGATGAGCAAGATGGTTTCAGAAAAACCTGGGAAGACTTAAGTAAACTGATACAGAGTGAAGTGAACAGAACCAGAACATTGTACACAGTAACAGCAATATTGTAACGATGATCAACTGTGAAACACTTGGCTACTCTGATCAATACAATGATCCAAGACAATTCCAAAGGATTCATAATGAAAAACACTATCCACTTTCAGACAGAGAACTGATGAACTCAGAGTGTAAATTAAAGTATAATTTTTTTCACTTTCTTTTTCTTGCAACATGACCAACATGAAAATGTTTTGCATGATTTCACATGTAAAACTGATAGCACATTGTTGCCTTCTCAGTGGGTGGGTGGGGGAGGGACTGGACAGAGAGAATTTGGAACTCAGGGGAAAAAAAAAAACTTTAATGGTTAAAAATAAATAATAATTTCCAGGGGTGCATTATGTATATGGCCAAAGTTTTAGTAAAACAATACAAACAAAACATTAAAATGCCCCAAAAAATATATTTTTTAATATTAAAACGCACTCTTTCTTAACACCTTTAGGGATTACCAGGCTACTCAAAACAAAAACTTGAATAAAAAGCTATTTTAAAAGATGACAATATTGTTTCCGAATGGCAGTCAGTCATTGGAATTTCACTAACTGTAAGGTTATACCCAATAA